TTTTTTTTTTGATGTTTCAGATATCAAAGACCTCTCTACCTCTATCCCTTGCTTTATTTATGGTTGGTTCCTCCTTTTGTCTTCACCTGCCCCCTCCCCAGTTTATTAACAGCTGAAAAATTAAATACTAGAGATTTTTAAATGTGGGGAAAGCAAACAGAAGGACTTACATGCAATAGGTTTCATAAAATGACTTTCCACTTGGTCTCCAGAGGCTTGGGACTAGCATGCTTTAGGGGGATGTATGGAGGTCCTCAGCTCAAACTATTTCTGTCCCTATTACTCAGTCTCAGGACTGGGAATTCCATCACAAAAAATTCATTGACACCGAGTGTTGAGACATTAATAGAAGTCAGTCCTATAAAAAAAATTAAGCACCTGCTATGGTCTTGCACCATGCCTGGGGCCAGCAGAGGTGGCAGGCCACTGGGAGGAGACCCTGGCCAAGTGCAGGGGGTAGGTGCAAACAGAGATGAATAAGCAGGACCCCTGCCTGATGCAGCAAGGGCTGTGGTGGAGAGGAGCGGCATGTGGGAACCAGAAAACCCTGGATGGATCTCTTTGGGAACCTAGTATAGAATGCCAGTCTGAGCAAGATGGCTGAGTGGCCTAGGAAAGACTTCAAGCCCTACCTTCTCCCTCTGCTCTCCATTTTTCCACCACTGGCCAGCACTTTTTCCGCAAGCCTTCCCAACAGCTGGAAACAGCCACTTGTTCCAGCCTCACTCTCTCTCTGCAGAAGCCCCCCAGCTGGCAGTGGCTGAACCCCGGGTGTCTGTACTAGAGGGAGGAGAGGCCTGGTTGGATTGTGCTCTCCAGGGAGGCACACCACCTGTTCAGCTCCTCTGGCTGGGACCCCAGCAACAGCAGTTGGAACACAGCATTTCTGGATTCATGCTGCACCCTGAGGGTGCCCAGCTGCACCTTCAAATCCTAGATGCTGACCCAGCACACCACAGCGGCACCTACCAATGCATGGCCTACAATGCCGTGGGTAACAGCAGCCAGCACGTGCTGTTGGAGGTCCTGAGTGAGTGTAAATGATGTGTGCACTTGTGCATCAAGGAGCGTAGGAGTCCAACAGATATAAAGTGATTTGCCCAAAGCCCTGAGAATTCCCTGCTCCAAAATGTGGGCACTTAGGCTCCTAGAGCACGACTCCAGGTGGGCTAGGGGAGCATGAATCTGATGCAGTCTTGAATACAGGCCCGCAGAACTCCATATTCATTTTATCAGTGAAGAAAGTGACTAGGTAAGACTGCTCAGGGCTTCACACAAGCCAGTGCCTCTCCTCTTGCAGGCTGTCTCTCCATAGGATACACAGCGTAGGTCTTGCTATGCAGGTGCCTGTACATGTCCCCCATCTTCACTCACCTCCAGGGTATCCAGCCCCTCCCAACGTCACCATCAGCCGCCTGACCTATAGGTGGCACCGAAGAGAAGTTCAGCTGCAGTGGGCCATCCAGGGCCCTGGGAACCTGACCGGCTTTCTGGTGCAGCGGAGGGCCAGTGTCCCCAGCCCAGAAGCTGGGACATGGGAGACTGCAGCTAGTGACATCGAGCCAGAGAGCAGGGGCCGTCGCCTGGGAGGGTTGGACCCAGGGGTCCTGTATGCCTTCCGCATCCTGGCTCTGAATCACCACACTGTGGGGCATCCTTCAGAAGTGAAGACACCAGGTGCTGGGCTGGCAGCAGGGAGGGATTTGCCTTTCCCCCAAAGAATTGCACCCTGGTCCATCCTCCCCTTCACAGGGTACCCCACTCCAGTCCTTTGCTTCTACCCTGATGGAACCCTTAGCCTATGTGTCCTCTTCTCCTACTCTCCTACTGCTTTTCCCAATCCCTCCCTCCCTCCCCTCAGCCCCAGGGAGGCCCCAGGCCTAGAAGGAGACCCCAAGCCAGTGTGAATCAGAAGGAAGTGGAGAAACAAGGTGCTGAGGGTTTCAGGAGTCCTATTCTGTGCCTCAGTCTCACCTCCTGCTGGACATGAGGGCTCAGCTTCCAGCTGCCCCTTCTGTCCTGGGAATTCCTTATTCTATGGAAGTCTCCTACTTCAGTTCCAATATAAGTAGCCTTCTGCGTTTTCTGCCAGAAATAGGGGGTTTGGCTGGGGACTCAAACCATAAGAGCACCATGCAGCCAGAGCACTTCTTTCCTTGGAAGGAAGCTGATCTCCAGATTCCCCAGGTCCCCCACATCAGCTGGCAGAGGATCTGGATGATCAGGGCATCATCTCCTTGGTACTCTGTGGCCACTGCTGCCCAAGTTCAGTCATGGTGCTAATTCACATAATCCGTGCTTTCTCCTCTCCTAGCGGACCCTGCCTTTATTGCTTACCCAGCTGTGCTGGGTGCTGCGGGCACCGGAATGGTGGTGGCATTGGTGGTCTCTCTATTGGTGTTCCAGTATGCTGCCCGGCACCCGCAGACTTTCCCCTGTGAGTGGGCATCTGAAAGAATGGGTTGCTTAACTCCACAGGGTAGTCAGGTATAGACCTACCCAAAAGAGAATTCAGGTTCCTCCTTTGCTATATCATCCATTGACAGTTCTCCAGCCTCAGGCTCTGGTGCCACTCCCCCTATGCTCTTGAGGATCCTGCAATGGAGCCCACTGTGAAGGGGAGGGCCATTCTCTTGGATCCACATTGGGTTGGTCAAATAATGCCCCTTTCTTCCTGCAGGCCTTGGCCAGCTGCTTGTTCCCATGTGAGTGTGCATCCTATCTATGGGACCAGGACTTCCCTTAATAGGAAAAGAAGGCTAGGAGAGTGTAAATGCCATTAACTTTCCTCTCTTCCTCCCCCCTCAGAGAGCCCACGCAGCAACAGAGGGGCTCCAGGGATGGTACTGAGGCACCAGCAGGTAGGCAAGATCTGTGCCAAAGACTATGTACATACAGAGACCAGTGTTTGGTTTCATGCATGCTACATGGTCTGTCTCATCCTGAGGTATCTTGCTCTCCTCTGTTCATCTGTGTTCTTTATAGGCATTGAAACGGCAGCTACCACCTCAAGTTCAGATCCTTCACAAGAATCCACTGATGCTCCAGTAAATGTCACTATCACAGTGACTGCAACATCATGAGGCCAAAGAAGAAGGTGGACATAGACTGAGGGGTGGCAGGTAGGGCTGGAAAGAGACCCTGGTCTTAAAAGCAAGGTGGCAGCTCCTTCCCCATTTAACACCCAGACACAAACTCCTCCTTCCCTTCAGTACCCAGAATCTGAAATTGGTGCAAGGGTCCAGTTGCAGTGCCACACAAAAAAAACAAGCCCTGGTCCAGCTTGTGGCAGACAGAGGTGGCAAAAAAGGAGACAACTCATAAGGCATCTAGGGGCAACTGAAAATGGAACAGGGAACAGCCTCTGATGCTAGGCAAGAGCAAGCTAGCTCCTCTTAGCAAAGAAAAACGGCTGAGAGCTGAGCCATTCCTGACTCAATTATACCCAAGATTCTACTAAAGGGTGCTTTCAATGACATCTTCCTCAAGGAGAGCTAGGTTGCTAAGCCCCCAGGTTTTACTGGCAGAAGAACTGAGTTCCTAGGTGTGTTCCATTTATTCAAATGTAGCTTAGAAGTACCGCTGAGCCCACAGCGGTCAGGCTCCTGGAGTCTGTGCCTTCACGACACAGCAGAGGTACTCCAGCAACAGTCCAGCCACCAAGCCTGGGGGAGCTGGCTGATAGAAAACGGAGGCTGTTCCAAAGTCACACTCTGACAGCTGCCAGTGTGAGTCACTGGCTCCAAGTGTGCATGTGTGTCTGAAATTTGGGTGAAACACAAGTAAATGCTTGTTCAGCTGACTGGAAGAGTCAGGACTCAGAGCTGCCTCCACAGGGGACTCAGATGAGAAGAAACAGCGACAGAGCCAAGGGGTGCTCTGCCAGCAATAAGGAAAGTGGCGCCTGACAGAAGACAGAAAACTGGGAGAAACTTAAGAAGCTTCTTCGGTTCTCAAGCAGGCTTTATTAGAAAAGGGGCTTTGGCTTCCCTCAAAGCTCTCAGGCCTGGGCCTTACAGTTAAAAGCAGTTTATTTAAGTATGGGAAATAAAATACAAAAGGGCCACACCCAACAGAAAGGATTCTGTTAGCTTTCTGCTCAGAAATTATGAAACTTTCACTTTTTAGAGCAGTTAAGCAAATCCTCTGTGGAGGTCAACACTTGCACTCTGGAGCTCACACCTAGGATCCTGGGATAGACAACAGACACCGTAAGGATGAAGAACATCCCCTCCCCCACCCTGTTCCTCTCCCACTCATCTGCCTGATGCTAAGCTCCCCTTGGGGTCCCTCACACTCCCCAGCAAACATCTGCCTGTGGTCCTCCTCCTCAGGGCCTTGATCTCTACAGTCAGGGAAGGGGAGATGTGGCTGGGCTCTGGGGTGTTCAGAGGGATTTGTGGGGTATGTCAGAAGTGGAGGTTCCAAAGACATCCCAAGCAGGACATTTCACCTCCCCACACCGTGTGGGGAGACCCACCTTATTCATATACATGTGAAAGCAGCATTCTTTTTTTAATATAAAATCATACCAACCAAATAAAAACCTGTCAAAGCTACATCACTTAAAATATGTACAATTTCAAACAATATTACAACTTTAAGGAAAATAAAACATATTTTCAATATGGTACAAAACATGCACCTCAGAGTTGCTGCTGTCAGAGCCAGCAACACGGGCAAAGGTTCTCGGTAGAACAGAAGCTGGAATGAGAGAAGTCATGTGATTGACACCTTGGTCTTCAGAGACTTATTCTATACAAACAGAACTCAAAAGAAAAGGGGCTTTGTGAAGCATTGCTTCCAAGGTTTAAAACAATGCAATTAACCTGTACTCTGTACAGCACCTATCACCAGAGTCAGCACAGAACTGAAAGAACACACGAGGGGAGGGTGAAAGGCTACACAGCAGGAATGGGCTAAGTTTAATGCCAAAGAGTCACCCGGGACACAAAAGGGCTTAATTTCATGGTCACTGAGCCAGGTGATGACTAAAATCTCCGGCAGGGGCAGGATAGGCAGAGGGAGGCTTCTCCAACTGCAGTGGGGGCCTCACAGAGCAATCACACAGCAGGGGTGCACAAAAGCACACATTCTGGACTTTTCTATGCAGATCTCAATGTTTCTAGAAAGCAGTACAGGTAAACGGGAGCAGAGATTATGAATCCAGGTAAACTAGGCTCTAATTCACCTCACTGTGAGCTAGGAATATCACAATACTCTGTTAACTCTGTTGCTTTGGGGGTTGAATGAGAACAGTAACAAGCAGGGGTGTGGTACAAAGTAATTCCTCCACAATGGTGTGCTATCCCATTATCCTATGGCCTTTTAATTTCTGGGGAAGTGATTCTTGCTAGGACCATTTCTGGTGACTGCAGGGCATGAAAGTTCAGAACAACTCACACTAAGGAGAACTCAAACGTCTAAACATAAAGGCAATTATATAGATTTATATTTATATTTATATATCTCAATATATAAAGGTATTTTTATAAATAAAATACAATAAAAGGGATAACACTTAAAACAGCGTTACTAATCACATAAATAAAGCAGTCCACAATGAGACTGCCCTAAAGGTAAAATAATTTTCTCTTCCTTGTGAAAGTCCCATAGTCAAATCCAATCTTTAAAAGCAGTTTCTGACCTAAGGCTCA